ATCAAAATCATATCATACAACATAGAAAAAGAATGATCTAATAAAATATATTTTATTTTTAATGCTATATCTTAAAAGAATTTAAATATTTAATAATAATTGGAAATAAATAAAAATTTTTTAAATGTCTTATGTATGCATATGAAGTATTCATTAAAATAAATTTGTAAAATAGTAGAAATTAGAAAGTTTTGAAAATGCTTGATTAGTATGTTATATAGCTTTAATTCTGAAAAAAATGTAATTTTTTTAATTGCATTAGGAGGCCCTAAATTGGCGAAATAATAACTGCAGGTTATAGCACAATTAAATTGTTAACAGTCGCACGCTAACAAGAGAAAAAAAAAAAAAAAACTTTTGCAATGTGTATAGAACCATAGATAAATATATCACTAAATAATCTTATTTTTTTTTAAAAATTAGAACATTTCCAACTGTTTTAGCTATCCAATGTTTTAATTATGTAAATTCTATTTGGAAAATTTACTTTTTGAAAAAATTTAATTGCGCAATCAAATGCTTACAAATATAAAAAATAAAAATATATAATTGTGTTTTTCGTTTTTTTTTATTCTCTCGTTCTAAATAAAATAGATATTGAACAACCCGAATGTTTTATGTGTTCAAAAGATTTTGTTCCAATTAAATTTAAAATGAATCACGAACAGGCCTGGAATTAAGTATTATATTTTAGTGGCGAATACGCGTGAAGAAAACGCGGATCCGAAAAGCGATTTTGAAGAAGCTGAAAAGCCAGTTAAGAAATCGATGATTTTGGGCCCGAATTTCGAATGCGAACCGGCGAAGCTGTTTCGACCCAAACCATATAGAAAATTCTTTTTTTTGTTCTTATATCGCAGCGCTTGCACCTTCATTTCTCACCCACCATGTTTCTGCGCCCACCTCCAGCCCACCACCGCACGCACCACCTCCCTCCTCCTTTCTTGCCTTTTATCTTCTTTCTTTCTGTTTCTTTCTTTTGCTTTTCTTTTTCTTCTCGCTTCCTTCTCTGCCCTGCGTCTATCTCTGTGTGGACTGGCGAGAAGACTAGGCGATCGCACTTGCGCGCGCCCAGCCCTCGGCCGGCCCTGTCTCTCCACACCGCCAAGTTCCGACCTCGCGCGGCCACGCCAGCGCCATTTCGTTATCGAATTCCGGCAAACAAATAATATTAGGTTAATTTAGTTTTAAGAGAATGAAATGTAATTGTTGTGTAGGTAAGTTTATTTTAGTTAAGTTAGGGTTCTTGAATTGTATTGGTGGTAATTTAATTTAGTTAATGTGATATTGTTTAGTTTAGATTAATGTTTTGAATAATTTTAGTCGATGTTAAGTTTAATGTTAGTAATATTAGTTAATTTATATTAATTTTATTAATTTGAAAGGTTGAAGGTTAATTTAGAAATATTAGTTAATGAAATTAAAGTTTTAGTTACTTGATGAGTCAATTAGTTTATAGTTAGGTTAATGTTTAGTAATGCTAGTTTAATTAAATTGAATTTATTGAGTTTGTAGTTAAGTAAATTTGGTTAATATAATTTAAATTTGATAAATTGTGAGTAGTTTTAACAGTTATGATTTTAGTATTGATTTAAATTGAAGGTAGTTTAGATATAATGTTATTGTAATGTATAATTTGGATTGTGTTGGTGAAGTGTTGAGATTGAAGGAGGTAATGGGAAATGTTGGTTTTGATTTAATTGCCCAGACGGATTGGGCCCCGTATGGATTGGAATATTTGATAAATTTTGTTGAATTATTTTACAGGAGGATAGTCCAACTTTTAGGGGAGATGCTGCGCCGCGTGGGGTGTTGAAATTTGGGTAGGAATAGATTTTTTTAGAAAACTCTAAAATGAGATGGTAGTACGGAATTAAATGTTTATTGTTAGTAAATATTATATTATCAATCATATTATTCTGGTATTAGATACTATATTATTATTATATTAGTATTCTATTAGTATTATTATAAATTATTACTTACCTTTTATGTTAAAGTTTGAGATAAATTTAGAATAATAATAAATTAGAAGAACTATTATATATATAGTATATATATATATATGTTTAATTTAAATAAGTGAATTAAATGAACTGGTAATCAAAACTGAATAAACGAATGTGAAAATAGTAATTTTTCGGCGAATCTAGAATTCTTACTGTAGAGTTTTCCTTGTTTATTTTTAGAGGATTATAAGAAATTCAAAAAATTGCGAGGACAAGCTTGGAAGCATCCGTGGCTAAAAAGGCCAGTCCTTTTAGAAGGACAATAAAGAACTGTGAGTAGTGTTAAGATAACTAGGTAGTCAGTCCGCCTGCATTCATGCATTTCAGCGGCTAATGGTTATGCATGCATTATGTTTTGTTGAATTATCATACTGTTTGAAATGCACTTAGTTGTTGATAATTTAAAAAATTGTTTGATTATTGTGTGCTGTTTATTATAATGTGCTTTGTTTGTTGTGGAAGTTGGGAATGAAGTGGGGTCACCATGGGTTTTGGGTGAGGACCGGTCGTAAATATGGATCCTGATTTATGATGAAAGTTGTGGAAAATTTTGGACGCGTCGCCGGGGTAAGATGGGAAGATCGGCGGCCCCGTGTGCCACCTGATGATATGATATGGATGGATATGGAAAAGAAAAGAGCAGAATTGTAAAATAATTACTGGAGAGGACTGGTCAAGTGAAGGATTAGGACAGGTCGCCGGCCAGATATGGGGATTGGCTCCCGCGGGTGCACACGTTTGAGCAGGATGGGGCTGTTTGAGAGGACGCTTTCGTCGGGGGTTTAGGTTGGACGGCCAACTGACATAATTTCCGACGTGATGTGGTTATAATGAGAAGGTGATAATAATGTGTGAGATTGCTGTTGTAGTTGCCAATTTTGTGTGATAAACTGCGATGAATCATATACTTAAATCGGTGATCAGATAAAAATAATTTTGAGCATGCTGTGTGATGTGTGTTGGGGTGAAGAGGGTTATCTAGACCCCTGACTCATTGAGTTTTGGCGCTCACGCCCTGCCGTTACTTTATTTTTTTTTCAGAAGTAATAGAAAGAAAGTCCGTATGGAGTTGAAACATTAATTTAGAAGACTGTTAATGAGAAAGATAATGAAGTAAGATGTTCAGGTAGAGTTTCCGGCAATTGTATGCCACCTGGGTTGTGAAATGAATCAAAAGTAGAAGTGATCATTTATTATGTGGGTTGTACTTTGGATATATATTTGTGAAATAAATTATTGGGCCTGAATCCATAATTATGAATAGAATGTAATATTTAAATAAGTTAGGCTTACTACGGGCTTTGGGGGGCCTTAAACCCACCCAGGTCCTAGTGCCGGTCCGGCCCACGGAAATGGGTTGTGACAATATATTAGCAGATTTTGATAGATTTTTTTTTTTCTAAATTTAATTTAACTTGGTAGACCATAAGATTTCACAGTTAAAAAAAAAATTGTATTTTTAAATAAAGTTTATCTTGAACTCGAATACGTATTTAAAGGGATTTTATTTGAAAATTTGAATATAAAAACGCATATGAAAATAAAAATGAAGTTACAAAATTGCAGCTTTTATAATGACATGAAATTATACGATTCTTCCTATTATGAAACTGTGAAGCTTGTGATGTTAGGTTTAACCTTAGCTAAGTTGCCCTGCTCTCCTTCCTAATTTATCTTTTTTTCCTTTTTGTCAAAAGAAGATGTATCAATTCAAAAGTTTGGATTTAAATTTTGAATCTATATTTATTATTTTAATTAGAATTTTCGTTAACCGCCGTCGCCTAAATAAAATATAAAAAAATTTTAAATATCTTATTATGATATATATTCATTAAAAAATACATTTAATAAAGATAAAATTTAAAATTTTGAAATACTTAATTATTGTGTATTTCTTTAAAAAATAATTTTTTTTTATTTATTAGGAGGCATGATGGACCACAATAACACTGTGGACTACACAATAATGAAATTGGTGAAAACACTTGTGGTCGAAATAATTCAAACTCGAGACCTCTCACTCCTCACATAAGTGAAAAGATAATCAGACGGCACGTGATTGACTGAACAAATAATTTTTATAAATTATATTCAATCAACTAATAAACTGTAATTTTTTAATCAGCTATCGTTAAGGGTATTTTAGAATATTTTAAATTTCATTAAGAGTGATATAAGAAATTCCATTATTCTCTCTATTCCCACTTTTATATATAAAGTAAGTATAAGTATAGATACTGGGAGACTTATTATTTAATCCCTCAATTTTGAAAATTATTAATTTAACCTTTTGTTTGAAAATATTTAACCCTATTATTTTATGAACTATTAAATTATTTATTATGTTTAAAAAGTATTATTTTAGCTATTTATATTCATTTATTACTTTAATCAATATTCGAAGATTACAACGTGCCTTTTTATTAAAAAGGATCAAAGGGTAAAAGTATTGTGCACTCTAATTTGAATCGATAAAATTGATTTAATCAAACTATTTTTGGTTATGATTCATCATTCATATAACATAAAGTTTGATTATCAATTTAAATGATTTAAATTAAAATTTCTTTTAGTTCAGTCTCGTTTTCAACCATATAAAAATTTTAGACTTAAAATTCAACCAGTTTAATTAGGTTTTTAATATAATTTAATATCGATTTGTATTCATTTTAAAATTTTTATTTGAATTTATTTAGTTGTAAATCAAATTAACTAGTTGCGCATTTTAAGAATTACAGAAGGATTTTATATAATGTAATAAAATTAAATACTATGAGATATCAATTTATAATATTATCAGATTAATAATTTTGGTAAATCATAGGACTATATAATAATTATTCATTTTGTCATTTGAGCCTCCTTTTTTTGACCCATAATTTTCTCTGCAATTGTCAATAAATATATAAGAAAATTATTTGTTCTCTTTCTACAAATATTTGTGTAACCAAGCTGGACGTTGGCCCATGATAATTTGTGAAACTGCTATACTAACACGTGTCTATTTCAATAACACTTTTGCTTACCGACTGCACACAATGTTTTCTTCTTCACTTCCTCTTCCCTTCTCCCTCTCTGCTCGAAATCTTATTCATAATCACCAAAACACAAGCTCAATATCCTCAAATCGACCCTTTGACCCTGACCGGGCCTCATTAGGTCGGTAATTCGTAAATATGAAGAGGGTGAATAGAAACCCGGACAGTGAACCGGGAAAACAGTCGGATCCTAATGAGCAGAGTGCTATGAATGAACCGGGAAGGAAATGTGGGTTTAACCCGATGAGAATGATGGTTTTTTTTGTGGTTTCATTGATGGTTGTTTCAGTTTTTTTTTCGTTATCTGTGGTTCTTAAAGACCCACCTTCAGATAGTGCTCCGGAATCTTCACGACCAAAGGTTGTTGAAGTTGAAGAAGAAAAAGGTACTAATTTTTTTGGGTTACTTTAATGGGTATGTCTCATTCTTGCGTGTATATAGTTTACTATCATCTATGCGTCGCTAGTGATTTATGTTAGTACTAATTTCATGTGTCGACTTTTTATAGTATTTCTGGTATAGTAGTATGTGCTTAACCTGCTTAATTCAGAAATTTAAAAATTGTGAGCGGCTAAGCTAATTTATTTCTACCATTGGTAACATCTCAGCTCAACTTGATTTCTACTGGAGCTACACTAGCATAAATTCCATCTCTGAATTTTCTGGTTCAGCTTTTCAATCTTATGATCTATTTGAGCCTTATTTTTGGCCTAAACCATAAATCATAGCTTTTATTTAATGGCCTTAACTACGTTCTTGCTGGCTTTTTCTTTAATTAATATGCTACCTTTGACTTTGGTAAAATCCTATCTCTTGTTAGCATTGTGTGACTAATTTGTTCTACAGATTCCCTTTCAGTTTTCTTTATTAGCTGACGCCTGCATTAACAACTAAATCATTTTAGGCACATGCTATTTGCCATATTTTCCTTTTATCTGGATTCATTACTTTTATATCACTTCTGTTATTAGGTATTGTTGCTAGTTCCCTATTCTATTTTGTTTCTTCCATCTGAAGGTAACTACTTGTTTTGTATTCGTGTTTGAATTATGATTTAAAAGAATAATTGCTAGGCATCTACTTTAGCACAGAGGAGTAGCACTAAATGTAGTTTTTTTCCTGCTTAGAGTTGCCTTGATAAAAATATAGTTTCCCAATGAGTATTGTTAGATATGAATATAATATCACTTGAGATGTTTAAATATTGACCATTCCTCAGAGTCCTTGTTGTCATGAAGTCCAACCATTATGCCTTATTGCCATAAACTTTATTGCTGCTCATAAAGCATGAACATTGAACTACTTATTTATGTTCTGCATTCAATGATTTGCTTCCCCACCTTGCAGAGTAGGGAGCTTTGCGTATTAGGGTGCCCTGTTATAACTGATTGCTAATGAGAATTTTGGGCTTTTGCTTGTCAAACTGACATATGTTTGATCCTTACCAAGTCCTATGTTCAGAAGGTTTATCAAATTCTGCTCGGGTCGCTCAGGGCAAGCTGCTAGGTGGTCTTCTTGCCAATGGATTCAATGAGGAAACCTGTATTAGTAGGTATCAATCAGTCTCTTATCGCAAAGAACTACCCCATAAACCTTCTTCTTACCTTATTTCTAGTTTACGGAATTATGAAGCTCTTCATAAAAAATGTGGACCTCACACTGAATCCTATAAAATGGCAGTTGAACAACTTAAGTCTGGGAATAATCCTGAATCCTCTGATTGTAGTTATCTAGTGTGGATCTCCTTTAGTGGACTAGGAAATAGGATACTGACATTAGCTTCAGCATTTCTCTACGCTCTTGTCACAAACCGAGTTCTACTTATAGACCCTGGAGTTGACATGGCAGATCTTTTTTGTGAACCATTTCCTGATGTCTTCTGGTTTCTTCCCTTAGATTTCCCTCTTAAAGGTCAGTTCAACAGCTTTAATCAGAGATCTCCTGCTTGTTATGGAAGAATGCTGAAGGATAGCAATTCTACAAATTTACATAGACTGATGCCTCCAATTTATGTTTATCTCCATCTAGTCCATGATTATGACGATCAAGATAAGCTTTTCTTCTGTGATGAAGATCAAGCTTTTCTTCGGAAAATACCTTGGTTGATAATCAAAACAGACAACTACTTTGTCCCATCTCTATTCTTGATTCCATCTTTTGAGCAAGAATTGAACAATCTATTTCCAAACAAGGAAAGTTTTTCACTACTTGGGTCGATATCTCTTTCACCCCACAAATTCAGTGTGGGGACTTATTACTAGATACTATCACACTTATTTAGCTAAAGCAGATGAAAAAATAGGCATTCAGATTAGAATATTCGGTTCTGGGACCAGTCCATTCGAATATGTGTTGGATCAGATACTAAATTGCACAGTCAGGGAGAATATACTGCCCGAATTCAACAGGCAGGAACAGGATCCCAGCCAATATGGAACTCAGAAGTCTAAAGCTCTGCTGGTGACATCTTTAAGCTCTTGGTACTCTCAGAAGATGAGAAACATGTATTGGGAACACCCATCCATGACAGGGGAATTGATAGGTATTTACCAGCCAAGTCATGAAGAGTATCAGCAAACAGAAAAGCAGAATCATAACCGGAAGGCTTGGGCAGAAATGTACTTGCTGAGCTTGACTGATGTATTAGTCACGAGTTCATGGTCCACTTTTGGTTATGTAGCTCAAGGTCTAGGCGGATTGAAGCCATGGATACTGTACAAACCTGAGAATCAATCAGCCCCTGATCCACCCTGTCGTCGAGCCATGTCTGCAGAACCTTGTTTTCATGCACCTCCATTTTACGACTGCAAAGCTCGGAAAGGCATTGACACGGGAGCACTTGTGCCTCATGTGAGGCACTGTGAGGACATGAGTTGGGGTCTCAAGCTTGTTGATGTTTAAAATGAATTCTAGCTAGTTTCGCATGCTGTAATTGTTTTGATCCATAGTTACCAATGTTTTCAAACTGTACATAAAAAACAAGAATTCATTTTATAAAAACTCATGATTCTTGAAGCGAGCATCAATGTCATTGGCTGATGGTTCTAGTATGCATCCATGGATAAGCATTTGTTGACAGTGTTGAAGCAAATATCGTCAATGTCATTTAAATAGAGAAATTTTGGGAAAAAAAATTCCTTAAATTTCGGTGAAATAATCATTTCAGAATTTGAATTAAAATCCTGCATTTTGTCGTGGAACGGGCTAGATACCATTTTATTTTTGGCAAGCAGACAGCCTATAATATAATGATCCATCGATAAAAAAAAAACTATTGGGCTCTCACTGTCGTTATATTATAGTCTTAGCATAGTGGTCATGGTCGCAGGAAGGACAGCCCGATCAGGAAGGGCATACCGATTATTTTAATGGCAGGTCGTTCAAATTAGAAACGAATGATAAGTCAAGTGTCAACACGACAGTTAACTGGATATTTACGGTTCAAACATTATAAAGTGGTCATTCCAGCACATCCTACTCAACATAACCTTCATTTCATCTGACCTACAGAGTTTTTCTGCCTCTTAAATATGTCCTCGTTATTATAAATGGATCAAAGGAGAAAATACTAAGGAAAGAACAGTATTCAACATTCAGATATTCAAGCACCACAACATTGATGAACCACGCTTCGATATCCAATGTACAAAATGTCAATACCCATCTCTCGCGCCATATGTTTAGCCCCTCCCTTCAAATGCTGCATTTTATCAATTCTTCCTCCCTTCACATAAGATTACGTGATAACCATGACTGCAATAGAATCCATAATTAGTCAATCAACTGCACGAGCAGAAATATAAAACAGGAATCGAGAATTACAAAATGTAGTCAGTAGGAATAATACGTTGATTTGAATGGTGCACTGGTAGCTCCAATAGGGGTGTTGAAGGCAACTTCCTGAAATGGTCCAGCCATCTTGCCCCGTGGAAACCATCCAAGGTCTCCACCCTTCTTTCCAGAAGGACATTCTGAATATTCAGCAGCTAGCTGCGAAAAAGAGAAGACATCACATAACGAACACACAAAAAATTTGAAATAAATAAAACAAAAATTCGAAATAAATAAAACAAAAATTCTCTCTCATTTTGGCTCAGTGCAGCCTATCAAATGGTAGCTTAAAAATCCACGTCAGAGACTACAATCAGTAGCTTCACAATCAGAAGCCCAAGAACCAACCTCTAACAAAAGCTAACTTTTCTAAGGGTGGAGTGAGGGAAAAAAAATTTCCTATACATTAAAATTGTTAACATGAAAAAAAGAGAGACGAGGCAGGAGGGAAGAAGGCTGCAGGTGCATACCATAGCATTGTCATATCAACATGATTCTTTCAATTTCATACCCTGAGTTAATACCATAACTTTTGTGAAAAAACCCCATGATTTTCACTAGTTTTGTCCATTAAATACTTGTCCCCATGATGTAACTTATCCAGTCTGAAATTCATCCCTCAAAAAATTTTGAGGCCATTCAGAACATTGAATTACCAACTGACAGTAACCTAGGCAAAATATAATGCATAAATAAAAATAAAGCAAATTAGGTTCCTTTAGTTGATTATCAAATGACAAATATTTGCACAAGCAATAGATGTTCCACTACGAGTCTCTGTCAGCCTCTTTTCTTGGACTCACATAATAAGAAAAGATTATTTGTTCTCTCTAAACCAAAAGTAGATTTTAGACTGTCCAGCCATTTGGAGGTCGCAATGTCATAGACTCACCTTTGCAAACTCAGCTGGTGGAACTTTGTCTCCATTGTTAAGCCAACCATCTTGCAGTTTCTGGTATGCTTCATTGATCTTACCTTGCTTCTCACATAAAATATGCCTAGCTAAAGCAGATAAAAAACCAGAACATACAGATATTAAGATGCGAAAAACTATTGGAAAGAAAGTTTCACAAAAAGAAAGAGAAATGGGGAGTTGGGGTGCAGAGGGGGAAGGGAAAAAAACCTTTAACATATGTACAGGTGCCAAGTCCATCAGCTTTTCCAGCTTTACCCTTACCCTTTGAAGCATTCTCATCACTTGCACCTCCTGCTGCCTTTCCTTTGCCCTTACCTCCTGCAGGCTTTGGCTTTGAGTCCTTCCCCATTACCGAGATTACCTAAAAACAAAATATTGTAATAGAGAATAAGAATAGACTGGACTCTGAAAATTTAAAACTCCATGGAAATGGAATAAATTAATAAGTATTTAATAAAAAGCAACTGAACACATAACAACCTGAACTCTTCATAAAGTGTGGAAAGTAAATAATACAGGGACAAATAATGTGAGGAAAAAGGTAAGAAATGAACAAAATGCATAATTGCACAAAAATATTGATGAATAAGGTTAACCATTGTATCTGATAAGACTACAAAATTTGATCCTCACACTCAAGAAAGTTGATGTGAACGACTCCTGTCCTTGTCCATGAATATATGAGAAAAATATATCCAAAGGTGACCACCATGACAAAAATATAACATTCTACTTCTCTCTGCAATAGTGTATTTTGAACTGAGATTTATCATTTGAAATTTTTTGCAGTAGAGCTCTGCAAAATGTGTCTTCTGATCAGGCCACAGAAAACAAAGAAAAATAACTTCCACATATATCCATTTCCTTAACCAAATTAACTATCAAATCTTAATCAACAATGGTCAAATGAAAAAAATATGTTTTTTTCATAACAAATATTTCTTATGTCATTCTCTTTCTTTGCTTTGTTTCCTCAATTTGTCTAAATTCTTACACTTCTTCTTCACATTAACTCGTAAATCACAAACCAACTAGGTCCTTAGTAGTTTCAGAATTCGATTTAATTTTGCAACAATCAAATCTAATTTCATTCATAATAAGATTCCCATCAAGAGAGCAAATAACCAACCCTCTGTATTATCCCGAGCTGCTTACACTAACTGTAGTAGTCAGTATATATATAAGAAACATAAAGAAGAAAAAACAACTTCCAGATATTCAACCATACATCTTATTTTACTTTCATCAACATCAATCATCTTCCATATTTCCAAAATCCCATCAAACCCACATCCAATTAATATCGTATTAGCAGGCATAGCAACATTTCAATATTCAAGATTCTACCCGCATATATTCACAGAAACTACAATCTTGTAAGCCGCCATGAGTATTATGATATCTGATTTGATTGAAGAAAGCCAAAGCGTCAGATACTTTACCTCAAGAACGAAAATAACCTTCTGCAATATAACTGAGAAAACCAGCAGCTAGAAAATATCAGCGAGCTTCTGTAGAAAAGCGAGCAGTTGAATTAGCTATCTCTTTTACACTATAATAACAGGTTTGCCCTTCAAATGAGTTTGTATGGGCTCAATGAGCCTTGCTTCTTGGGCCGTAAGATGGCATATAATATGAATATTTTCCAAAAATAAAGTTGTTCGGCATAATTTCAAATAACTCATTTTCTATTATTTTGCTGTAACAGTAATTGAAATATATTAAAATTTTCAATTTTATTAATACTATATAATATTTAAAATTTTAAAATTTTCATATCTTAAAATATATTTTCCTTTAAAATATTTCAAAATCTACTCATTTTCCATTGTTTAACTACTACAACAGTAACATAAAAAATTAATTTACAATAATATGATAGTATTTATAATTATATAAATTTTATATTTTAAATATAAATGATTAAATATGAAAAAATTGCACAAAAATGAAAGTTATAAGTCATTGTGAGCAACGGTGGCGGAGGATCGTAATTGTGAGCGACCTACAATGATTACTAATGATCGATAATAATAACTAAAAATGATAAATATATAAAATTTTAATGTGGGAAGAATATTTATACTATTATAATAAGTTTTTTTTAATGTTAAAGAAAATATTTTTCTCTATTAAAAGGAAAGTTATTTTTCAAACAATTAGAAAAATATTTTCGTGCTAATTTATTTTCTCGAACATTTTAAATATCAGAAAATTTAAAACAATTATCTTATTTTTTGGCGAGAAAATATTACTATTTTATTTATGATAAATATTTTTTATTTGATTGGTTTGGTTTTTGAGTATTACATGCAAGTGTTTCTCAACTGTTAAAATTCTTTGGCGGACTTTACCACGTCAAATGAAGCCAATAGTAAAAGAGCCCAAAGCACTCTTAACGCTGCACTTTATGCTCTTCTCCTTAAATATCGTACACAGCCGCCCAACCTCATACGAATCCATGTTCCCGCAGTGTACTCAACCACTCCTAGTCATAACCCTTCCGACTTACGTTGTAAATAATAATAATAATAATAATAATAATAATTAAATATCTTTACATTCTCGAGGGAGACTCAGCGACTGTGTTTTCGTTTCTCTGCAGTAGTCTCCACTCTTTCGTGACTACGGGTCTGGTAGTGGCAAGAAAAATTTCGCCATGGCTACGGGAGGCGGAGGGGCAGCAGCGGCTAGCTCGTCATATCCGTCATTGATCAAAGCATATGCTGTGCCTTTCTTTCTTTTCGCTGTTTCTATTTTCTATCAGCTCGTCGTTCTCCCTCGCTCTTTTCCTCCGTCTCATTATGATGGTCTGTATATGATTAATGTTCATATACACGCGTATGATTTTATTATAAATTGCGCTTGATATATTTCTTTTAATGGCAGTTTTGGGGATTAAAAGGTTTTCTTCTATTGAAGAAGTGAAAGATGCCTACGAGAAACTGTCTTCAAAGTGGTAACTCTTCTCTCTCTGTCCCTTTCTCTCTTATCAGCGTCAATTTTCAAATTCATCATTTGCTTTTCGACTAGTGAAACTTGATATGTTTATTGTAGGAATTCAAGCGCTGAGGTTCCTAGTGCTGCTGATTTTATAGAGGTCAGTTAAAATTTTCTATATATGTTTTTGTTCTGATAAATACATGAGATTGACTATTTCTGACACTGCCTAGAGGAATTCAATTGAATTGAATGATGAAATAAGATACAGTTGAATCCTGCTTGTTAAATTTTCGTTTATGATATGCATGTATCTATAATACAAGTATGCACAATGAACTTTCTTGCTAATGAGCAACATTTGGTTTAGATTTAATTAACTAAAACTGAAGTTGCACCTAAATAATCTTTTGAACTGTTTGCTTTCGATTGAGATTAATTTTTACCATCCATAATTATTGTAGTAATTTTTTATTGTTCTGAAAAGGCGATCATAATTGAACTAATAAACTAAGTACGGTACTGTGGTTCCTTCTTTGATGCGATGAATGCTATGGTATTATAATTGAAGTAAGCTCCTTTCCTTCTTTGATCTGCTGAATGCTAGGAGATGATCATTGCCTTGTTATGGTAATTGTTGTGTGTTTTGACTATGCTGTCCCCTCCCAGATTCAATATGCTTATGAGTTGCTGAAGAATCCTTTATGGAAAAGAGACTATGACATATTTGGCATTGACGAGCAACTTGTGAGTACCTGACTCATGGAATGTTTGCTTACTACGATATTATCTCTAGTTTGTTTCCAAATCCCCACACCCGTTTCTCTTTTTTCCAAGTCTTGTATCTTTTCACCAGTGACCTGAAATTTCTTTGCCATAGGATGTTCTCAACAATCGAAGGGAGCAATACGCTGGGAAAAGCTTTTCACAAATAGCCCTTCCCTTACTAGATGCAAGGTCTTCTGGTTAGTAAAGATTAAATTCCTACAGATTTTTTTTTTTTTTTTTAAATTTCCATTTCTTTTCTTTTTTACTAGACAATTCTTTATGCTCAAGTTTTTATTTACTTATTGAGTTATTAAAGTAGTCTGATAAACAGATTCTCATATGTTTTTATCAGATCCTGAAGATCATGGTCTTCCTATCATTACATCTGAGGACTTCAGGTCTATGTTTAGTAATTCTAAGCCATGGCTTATTCAGGTAAAATGATCATTTCGTGATGTTTTCATATACTATTTTAATCATAATAAACTTGATATAGTTTCTTAAATCAAATTACTCCCTTAATTCACATAAGGGTTGTGCCCAATACTATTCAGAAAATAGCTACAATTTATAATTAAAGTACATGCATCATGCATGTGTGTGCGAGCATGATACAAGTCAGCAGGTGTGGCTGGTTATACGAAACACAGTTAGAAATTTCATTATGACTCGTATCTCCTATTTTTGTTTTCCAAATATTTGCAAAAATGTATGTACTGACATGGTATTTGGTAATGCTTTGTCATAGTATTATAGCAGTTCAGATATATCTCCCAATATTTCGGCTTCTAAAATTTTTGTTGATATGCTATGTCATGCTATTATTTGATACTCTTATCAGAATGGCATTTTCTCCATGACTTTTAAATGAGCTGATAATTTTGCTATCATCGTTTATTGTGTATAAATCAGGATCTATAGATTTTGAGGGTAGAATTTTGTGGTTCTGGCTTGTTCATCATATTTTTCTGCCTTTCATAGAAAACTTTCTTTATTCCCTTTCCGTGGACTGCATAAACATGAAAATATTAAAATCTAATTCTTAAATTTTATACATATAGCAGAGAATGCCTGTGAAACAAGACCTTTAAAGAGTGTAAGTCCAATTAATATCTATTGTTGTCATTTTGTCATTAGATGATTCCAAGTTGAATTTTGATTGCAGATATATTCACTTGGGAGCAGTCGCAGTGCTCAGTTTTTTAATTCTTGGAAAGAAATCGGTATTCCTTCATTAGTTAATTTGTCATTTCATTTGTCAATTTGTCATTTTTTGAAACCTCACTGTTGCTTGGTGATCTTTACGCCTTTGGTTTGAAGTTTACTTTTATATTAAGATTGTCTTTGTAAATATTTTTCTACTGTAAATACGGATAAACCATAAGAACCGAGACATAAGGACTCATGGACAGAATATTGAATTTGGCGAATTTCAGTTTTGCTCTGTGATGTTACCAAACTGATAGATTCATAGATAGTGATTCTTTATTCTAGTGCTGTTATCTTGTTTGTCTGGGTCATGTAGTGCTGGTACCTTGTTTGTCTAGGTCATGATAAAACCATAAGGTCCCAAAGCTTCATTCCCTTTGACTAAGCTTTCTACATCTCATACGTCATGGTACTTCCCTTTAGAGATTTGAAGCCTGGTTACTATATTTTTTTTTTGAATTGAATTGGAATATGTTACATTGACAATGCTGCTGTCATCCATTCATAAATATAGAAAGAAAAATGCCATAAGAAATAATGTATGTCTTAAAAAATATTACTACCACCAGATGTGTTATCGAATTTAAAAAAAAAAAGAGCCAAAAGGTTTAACTGTTTGGTTAAATTTTGCATGTTGCATTAATTTCCTTAGCTGTGCTACTGAAGACGTACCTTGTTTTTCAAAATGACGTTTTGTGTTAATTCTTGTTGATGAATCAGCATGACTATGATGTAGTTTTAGCTTGCAATGTGATTAACCTCGTGGGATATTATTCCTACTGTCTATACATTCAGCTTCTTTATTGGATGGAGTTGCAAATACTGGTATGGTGGAACTTGGCGAGGTTCAAGTTGCAACATCCCTTGCTGAGAGAAAGCCGACAGGCCATTTCTTCTTTAGGAATGGTAGGTGTTTACTTTTATTCATATGATTGCCCCTTTCAATGAATTTTTTTTTTTTTTAAATGGATTCCAAATCTAAAAAAGATTTGTTAACAAGACAAAAACTCTTATTCAACTGTAGATTGTTCTTTGATATACAAACAGTTAGATTGGCATAGAAAATAAGCATAAAAATCATGTGTAGCTTCCAGCATGTGCCGTTTTGCTGAGAGGATGACTTCTTTAATTGTGTTGATATGATCAGTTGCTTTAATTGTGTTATCCGTTCTCTGGTGTCATTTGGAGTCGTAGATATGCCTGCAATTGAAGATGTATTCCAAAGGATTATAGATACTTAAATATGAGGAAGATTTTTATTCTTTTCTTTATGGTCTAATGGAAGGAAGAGGGGGCCTCATATTAGACTAATAGTGTCAAGATTAAATTGCCATAAAAGCTACCGCGAAGGGGAATTTTCCATGTTGATTTTGTCCCTTTCAGATGAACTCTGTTCTCGTATTGTTTGATGCATAAATGTGCCATCATATATCAAAACAAAGATAAATTGTTTTCAGGATGTTTTTTTGACTCTGAATCATGGAACTGGAAAAGTTTATGATATCACATGTACAAGATGCTAATGAAGTATGCCCAAAAGAAGATGATTATCATTAGTTGGCATTTGAATTAAGAGGTTGGGGTCTTAACATTTGTTAGGATCTGGGTATCATGGTATTATTTCTTCCTTCGTTGCAGCGTTGTTGCACTCCAGTTTTAAACCATAATTATAAAGGTGCTTAGTGGACAGAATTATGGGCTTATTGTTTATTTATTCTGATGGAGTAAAAAGATGTTTTGCATGTCTTTTATTGTTAGTGTTAATATTATAATTTCTAGGGAGCAAGGAAGGACTACTATCTTAACCAAAGGAAAAGGTTTAAATCTTTTTTATTTTTTATCTATGCTTAAAGTTTGGATCAATGTTATGTATTCCATGACAAAAGCTTTGGTATGTATATGTAATTTATTTTTGATGTGATACAATCCTTTCCTTATGTGCTAGCTTTCTATTACCATTTGCTTTTAACTTGGTAAAAATGATTACAGGGCTTCCTTCACTTGTTGCATTTCCACTGGGGTGTAAAACTTCAGATTGTCTTGTTAGGTGAGTTGGAAGTTACAGATTCTATTCTTTTTTGTAAAATTCTTAACTGGGGAGTGGTACCAGAATTATGGGAATGAAAAATTCCATATTTCAATACATTGTGGAAGCTTTATGTATTTGGTTTTTGTATTAATAATTTGATGTACCCATAATCTTTTGTAGGCACCTCATTCACCTTTTTTTTTTTTTTTTTTTTTTTTTTTTTTTTTTATGACTGGATATTCATACTGAAAACTTGTCCTTTATGTTAGGTATGAGGGAACGATCTTCTCAGTTGACTAGCGAGTTTACTGATTGGTTTGCAACTGTCATCCTTGTTTAACTCGCATTTTATATCATTCAAAGGAGACACTGGTAAATTTGAGGCTCTCTAAAATCCAATTGAATTGTTCTTTAAAGTACACAAACTAGTTTCTTTTATTCCAAAAAACAAATAAACAATATTTGTGGCACATTTTGCTTAATAACTGGGGAGAGTATAGAGTATCTCTGTTAAGACAGACAATATGAATTCATGAGTAATTTTCAGAAGTCCCTGTGTGAAAAGAAAAAGTGTTGTTCAAATGAACACCAGTATTTACTGGGATTTTTTTTTTCTTTTTTTTTTTTTTTTTTTTTTTCTGACTGGATATCATACTGAAACTTGTCCTTTATGTTAGGTATGAGGGAGATCTCTCAGTTGATGCAGTTACTGATTGGTTTGCAACTGTCATCCTTGGTTTACCTCGCATTTTATATCATTCAAAGGAGACACTGGTAAATTTGAGGCTCTCTAAAATCCAATTGATTGTTCTTAAGTAACAAAACTAGTTTCTTTTATTCCAAAAAACAAATAAAAATATTTGTGCACATTTCTTTAAATACTGGGGAGATATAGAGTATCTCTGTTAAGACAGCATGATTCATGAGTAATTTCAGAAGTCCTGTGTGAAGAAAAAGTGTTTCAAATGAACACAGTATTACTGGATTTTTTTTCTTCCCTCTCCTCTAATGAGGCATTGTATAGCATATGGATTTTGGAAAATGTGGAAGGAGAAAAGTAAGATTGGATAGAAATCAATAAAAAATAAGTAAATAAACAAATGTTCAATGTTCTAACTATAAATTATATTTATAACTATAACTAATATTTTATAAGTATCAACTATCAAAATTATACTATTACTATAATATACTATCCTTGCTATATTTGAAGTGTTTCACTCCACTTTTGATGGGGTAGAGAGCTGCAAAAGCATGCTGTTTCTTCAGATTTTTTGTAGGTACATGTGAAACGGAAAAAGAACAGTAAAACCACAGGAAAAGGAAAAGGAACACGTGAAGGGACAACACGTTTTAGCATCCTTTTCCTTTTCACTCCGAGGTTTTGAATACGCTGTTACTTTTGTCTCTTCAGATCTCATAGTATATGAGAAAATCTGCCTGAAACCATTATTACATTTACCAATTTTTTAGACATGGATAACTATGGCCATGTCGATGAATATCTAATTGCTTTTGGCGCTTCATATTGACATATTTTATATCTTTCAATAACAAGTGTGGTTAATTTGCTCTTTTCATATTTAATCGTCTTTCTTTTGGGTTACTTCCTCTTACTGCTGGAATGACGTGAAATTATATTTTGATACCAGGGAAAGAATTTTCTCGCAAAAAGTGGTCCGCACAAGGTATGCCATTTTTCACTTATAACCCCTCTGCACTCTCTTTTTCTTATGGGGAACAGAAGTATGGAAAATTCAATATTTTTTCCACATAAAGATATGCTTTTGTGAGCCAAGTATTCATGTAGGGCAGCTTTATGCTATGGGCTGGGATTCTGATTTGAGTGTTTGCAACCATCCTCATTTACCCCAAATTTCTCCTTTAAGACAGGAGGAGAGGGGGGTGGGGGGGTGGGGAAGGGGGTTTGGGTGGAGAGAGAACAAACTGAGTAGGATTCTACGATTGGTCACTTTGGCATAACTTTGAGATTTGATAGCCTTTCTTTGATAAGCACATTGGGTTGGAAGTGATAACCTCATAACGATAATAATACTTGATGGCTTTTGCTTATAGGTGAAAGTTATTTTATTCTCAAAAACAGGAGTGCGTGCTACTCCATTCGTACGACAAACCGCTAAAAATTATTGGTCTTATGCCTCATTTGCATTTGTGCTATGGCGAGAAGAGGATTTCTCCTTTTGGTGGAATACGTATGTGGATGTGCTTTCTCCTTCTCCTTCAATCAATTGTATGCTGTTTGTTGTTTCATTTTAAGTAGCATACCATTTTGCTATCAATTTGGTGCCTTGCATAAGCTTTTGCCAGCTGTACCGATTCTTCTTTGAACAGATAACATTGATTTACCTTTGATTGCTTAAATTGGGAAAACAGTAGTATTTTTAGTTTATTTTTTATTTACTTACTATTACCTTGACAGACGTTAATTCCCCATTTGCATTTCTTCTGATTCATTTCATGGGCCATTCAATCACTTTTTGGCGTGATCTTGATGTGGAATTAACCTTTTAAGAATCAATTGTTGATGCATTACTCAACTATTTGAAATTGGGATGTGACGGGTAGCAATTCCTTGTACATAAATGATGATCCATTTGAGAAATGTAAAGGAAAATGATTGCAGATTCGTCTCTGTTTGGTGGCAGGAAATCTCATTTCTGATTATTTTGACATTGTAAAATATTTAATATATTTTTCTTTTTCCTGTATTTTGAACTCCTAGCGTGCATGGGAGATGCTGCCTTTAGTTGTCCTTATTAATATTATTCTTATTTCTCATTAAAGAAATGAATTACAGGTTTGAGGTGGAATCTGCCCCTGCTATTGTATTCTTGAAAGATCCAGGTGTTAAACCTGTTGTTTTCCATGGTATGACTTTCTTTCATTTTCCAAGTTTGCTTTTGTTTACTTTGATACAATTTCTTTAATGCAGGAGCCTATATTATTTTACAGGATTATTCAATAATTCATGGTTTTCAGATGTCATGGAAAAAAATAAACAGCAAGGTAATTCTTGTTCATCTGCAACTAGTATTTCATCAGAAAGATACTTTTACATAATGAATAGTCTTTTGCTGACAAGTCAACAATTCACTTGTTATGATGTTGCTAGATTATACCAAGAACAATTTTTTGTTTAATTTATCTTCTCTTGTCACAAAGTTTTGGTTGCCTTTTACTTTATAATTAATTATCTTTTTTAGAATCCTTACTTGCCAAGTTATGTGTACCATGATGAATTAGATCCAGCTGATGTAACTGCCCTTTATCTGTTGCCATTATACACTTGAATAGTTGTATGTAATCCTGTAGAATAGAACTTCATTTGTATTTGGCCCACTGTTATCAAGTTCTGGTGTGCAGTCAAAAACCGAGAGAGCTATTGCAAATGAGGTATTTTCAGGGAATCAAATTGGGTCAGGCTTGGTGGTGGATTGGCCAGTTTGCTGCTGGGGTTGTTATAGTCTAATTTCCAGATTGTAGGAGCTCAAAATTTTCAAAATGTAGAACCACTAAACAAAACTCTAGGAAGAACAATTTATGCACTTCTTTCAACAAACTGGAGATGCAAACTGAAGATTTAAACCTAAAGCTACTTTTACTGTCCAAGAAAATGAGAGAAGCCTTCGAGAAAACGCAGCAATTCATGGTATGTAATATAATTAATTGGAATATTTGAATTTTAAGGAAAAACGAGAGAATCTTAATTGAGATGACTACAGTGGGTTTGTATGTGATGCTGAGGATGGACCAGCAGTTTCACACAGAGAGAATCTCAGAAAGGCAAGAAGGGCATAGGTTTATGCTTTAGGTGCACCCTTGGGTTCAATTAGACTCTCTAGTTTTGTAAAACCTTATTTGGATCAACTTGATACTATTGATGTGTAAAAATGCTTGTCTGAAATTTAGCCCTAATCCCTATGGATCATGAATTTGGTTTGGATTGGTAATTGTTTGTTGGTCTTTGAACACAAAAGTGTACTTGTTTCAGACTATTCAGATTACTGGTTTCAAAATTTGTTATGGTATTTTCTGTGAAGTGGTATGCTTTTTGTGTTATGAGACTGAGGAGTGAAATTGATAAAATGAAATGAAAATGATTGGGCAATCATTGGTTCAAATCAAACTTCAAAATGAGGCAGTGTAAACTTTGTATTGAAAATGTGATTGATATGAACCAGAATGAATCATTTTATCTTGGAAGAATGAGGTACATGAAAAGTGTGACTAGAATGTTTGCTAATATCACTGTTTTCACAGTGGTAAATTGACTATGCATGAGGATTATATGAAAGGCAGCCTTCTCAAGTAAGAGCCACATGTATGAAGTGGTAAGAGTGCAACTTGGTGCTGTGTGATAATCATCTGACTTAAGACAACTTCCATGACATAATTATCAATATAATAAAGTATTATCCTGCTGAGTGCTGGATTTTGGGGTATAACCAATTCAAGCCGAGCATCAAAATGAGTAATTTTTGTTTGTTTAATTTGATTCAAGCTTGGCAGTGACTGTGCTTTACTTTAGAGCATGCTTGAATTTGTTTAGAAGTTTAATCAGTAATTAAAATTGTTAAATTTTTACCTAATGCTAACATAACAATATTAACGTGGAGCATCTTGGTTACACATTTGATTACAACTATCTGATATTCAAGAACACTGTTTACATGAACTAGAGAACATAAAATTATACCAAATATCAGATCTCTCAAGAAATGTGGCAAGTCTTATGTTAGATTTGATCATACTTGCAATTACAAAGAGGTTATCTTAAATTAATTTTCATGCATTCATTTTCAGAACTTCCTCAGTTAAGAAGTACGACATCAATGGAGCTTGGTTGTGATGCCCGAGGCTATTCTCGTGCTGGATTTGATACCACATCATGGTACTGTGTTATTCTAGCAGGAAGACTGGGCCCAGAACTCAACAAAATGCGCGAAGTAAGTATTTTTACACTGATTACCATTTTATGGGTTAAGGCATACTTCACGAAAGCAAACTCATGTAATAATTGGAAATTTAGTACCCATGATCTCCCTTATTTTTACACTGATTACCATTAATAGGTAAACTCATGTAACTATCCTGTAATAATTGGAAATTTAGTACCCTTGACCTCCCTTATTTGCTGACTGCCAATATCTTGTGTATTCTGCTGTCCAATGCCCATATATTTTTGCTGTGTAATGGAGGGAATTATATGAGCTCATAGACCATGCGCAGGGTAGGAGAACTATTATCAAGTGATGGAAAATTGAGTGATGTTGATGATGACCAATCCTTATTGCTGGCAACTGCACTGAAAAACAAACGACTGACATTTGCTTGGCTTGATGGTGAAGCCCAAGAGGTGAGTTGTCTCTTTTAAATGATGCTGTTGATTTTAGACCAAGTTCTGTTGAATATGCAAAGAGCTGGTCAACAAATATCATGAAGTTTATGCATGCCATGACATGAATTATAGCATATTAGATAATTACTTGGAATTAATAGGATGAAGCAACAAGAGTCACCAAGTTCCTGGCATCTAATTGTGCAATTAAAATTGCACACGTTGGCTGGCTTCTATATTCTACAATAAAGAATCATCATGCACATCTAAATTGGCCAAGGAGATAGATTTACAATCTCTAATTTACTCTTTTTTTCTTATGATCCTAGATATGCCATGGAATGTATTTACTTGTAATTTGCTAAAATTCTTCTTTATTGCAATGATCAGTATCATGTTTATCATTTTCACCATAAATTTTCCCCCATGGCAAATCAATTGTAAAAATGATGAGGATAATGATAAACTTTTTGCCATTTTCTCTTTGTTGACTCTTGATAACCTTGCAATCTATTTTCCATTTCATATATGCATATACTATTGGTTGAAGATCCAGATCTTTATAGGATTGTAACTTTGTTTACAATAAGTAAGCTTTTAGTTTTTTGGTCTGGAGCCACTAACATTGTGGAGCTCTACACAGAAATATTGTCTCTTCTACCTTCATTCAGAAACCAGCTATGACACCTGCGGACCGAGGAGGGATCTGAGTGATGTGCCTAGGTTATTTATTGTACGTTACAAAAGGAATACTACTCAAGATAATGTCAGGGGTAAAAGAAATGCATTCGATGATGAAGATGCAGATCCTGCATCACAGCTTGTAGCAAGATACAATGGTTCGGATGAAACTCCACAGGTATATGCAGTTCATAGCGAAGTCATATTTGTTAGATTAAAATTAATAATTGATCAGTTATCACAGATTTTTGGTTGTTTATATATAAGATTTTATTTTAGATGTATTTCAAATAGCAGGAAATTTGATTTTGTGGATTTAAACATTTCTCACTAAGTTTTTGCTTTTTCTAACTACAGATTGCTCGATGGATTGCAGAAACAATTAGTGATGGTGAGACCAGGGATCTTCCCTTCTTTGTAAGTGTCCCTCTTCTTTTTTCCCCCCCATGAACCCCCCTATGAACAACTTTTGTGAGGAGCATAATTTTGTGATAATGTCCATCGTCCACTTCACGTGGGAATATGACCAGACTTCCAATAATCAGAAATAGAAAGGTGCTACTAAGTACAAACTTTAACTGGTTTTGTTTTTTAGCCCCCATTAGAAGATGGTGGGCATTTGTCCTTCAATGTAACACTTGGTTGTTTGGCATAAGCCGTTGGTTCTGCTATTCCACTAATATTATAATCAATTGATTTTCCATTTCAGTGAACACGCCTAACGTTTGAAATAACATTATATTTAACTCGAAAATTTTATTTTTGAATTATGGAGATATACAGAAAATATTGGAGCCATAAACATCATCTGATATAGAGAGTTGGTGGAAATGGTCCTTCACTATGTGGTGTAATGATAATGGTCAAATATTTTCTGGAGCTTTGCTGATGTTTTTCTTTTGAATTCTTTGTTAAACATTTGTTTGTCTCGAATGCAGAAAATAAAAGCTCCTGATCTTGTTCCTGAAGACTCAGATCCTATCTGGTCAAGAGGTGCCCAAAATATTCTATACAAAAGTGTGGGTGTCAAGCACTGGATCTACAGAATTAAAAGCAGAATTTATGATCACATGGGAGATCCAAGGATTGGCCCAATATTACTTTTGGGGGCTTTGATGTCTTTCGGTGCTGTATGGCTCATGAGAAGTCAACCAGCTCATCGTGGTCAGTCAAGTCAACCGAGTGAATCAGGTTTGGAGAAGGTAAGTGGACCACTCACATCACACGGTGATAATTCTAAGATCTAATTTTCAAGTGCACTTGTTGAAGCTCTTCTGATTGCATTGTAGCTCTCTCTCTCTCTCTTTCTTTTTTCTTTGTTATGCTTTAACTACTAGTTTTAGTCGCGTATGGCTTTTCAAATCATAGTCCTGCTTTCAATCTCTGCAAATTTTTGTTTTTAAAGTACTTAAACAGGTAATTCTGCCTGTGATGTGTCTCCTTACAGGATGAAACTACAGAAAAACGAAGAGAACGAAGAAGAAATGTGTTGAAAAGGAATGTACCTCCTTCCATTTCCGATATAGAGCCGAAAGATGCATACCAGATGCCGATGTCAGATTCTGATTCCAATTAATTGGTCTTGCATTGTTTTTGAGTAATGATGTAGCCTTGAAGCTTGTAGTGATCAGAATAGTCGCAAGTAACAACCTGAAACTTTATTTTGTTAGGTTCAATAGTTATTTATGCAGAGCATGGAGCTGTTTAACCTCGGAATGGGGAATATAATTGATTTATAGTATTTAGTAAAGTGAATTTCATATCAACTGAAAATTAGTCCAATTATCATTCAGCTTTCCATCGAGTAGTTTATATGATGGGATTAGTTGATAGGGTTCCTGGAAGGTAAAGCTTCAACGCCGAACACTATGGATACAAAGAATTCACATATTGTTAGTTTTATTGGTTTTTGTATGGGGTTATGATTTATGTTTTTGCCTGGGTGAATTCTTTATAAAAATTAATTTAATGATTCCATGCATTTTATAAGTATAAGATAAAGATTAATATTTTTTATATTTTTATATAAAGAATTTAATAATAAATCATTCGTATAAAGAATAAAAATATATGTATAAATACTGCTTATTTTAGTTGCCAATTAACAAATATTCATTTTTTCCCGTGTTTTTCTTTTCTATTTTTTTTTTTATTTTTATAAATAAACCTGACATCTAGCTAAGGTCTCTGTCGTCTTTAGCCTCCAATTATTTGGTCTCTCATTCAATATTTCTCTCTCTTATATTCTACTGGACTACCACTATGCTCTTAAAGGTTTTTTTTTTTTTTTAATTTTGAATATGCTCTTAAAGGTTTTACTTTTATTTATAAATAAAAATCAAAGACCCTTTTGCTCAAAAATAAAAATAAACCCTCACCCCACACTTCACGTTATATGTCAACATTGCACAGACATGAAAGGGCAATCTATATGGAAAGCACACAATTAATAAATATTTATTTTCTTCGTGTCCTGATTTGACTTAAATACAAATTAAGAAATCTTGATTAATACATGTTAAACTATATTTTTTCTTTGTTTTTTTTTTTCTCATACACTCTTATATTAATGCCATTAAAATTAAATGATTCATATTAAATTGTTATTGAAATTAATCAAAATATAATCAAATATTTGATTAAATAAAATTTTCTTAGAAAATTAAGTTTGATATTAATTTTTTTTTACATTAAGATTTAATTAATAATAATGCAATAAGTTTAACTATTATATTTATTGATAAAAAAAATATTAAATAAAGGTAAAGGAATGAACTTTAAATATTATTCACTCCTAAAAATGGATTGATAAAAAGAAAATTTTGAGCAAATATTATTCTCTCAAAATTTTTAATTTTTTTTATTTGCATGCCGTATCTTTGTCTAACAAAAATGACGTCCTTATAAGAAGTAATTAATTTACTAAAAAAAAATCTAATTACATAAATTATTGAATTGCATAATTCCCCAAATCAAAATCATCATTCCAATAATTCAAACTCACATCCAATCCTCCACCACTGCTTTCTCCCTCACCATTGTAATAGTCTCTACTGTTGAAGCGCTCGTCATAATTATAAGCACTAACATAGCCACCACCGAAAGGCATATCTGAAACTTGTTCTATAAAATTACTGTTCTGAGCACTAGATATGTCAACTTGAACATCCTCGTTCTGGCTCAAATTATTATTTGTCAATAATGTTCCACCATCTTCTCCTCCATAATTCCCTAAATAATCTTCTAATTCACAGGGAGACATTGTTTGAAGAAGCACGGCGAATGCTTCATTAACTTCATCTTCTCTGACATTGCCTAAATTTCTTGTAGATTCATACGAGTCGCATTTAGATGATAATGTTGGTATGTCTTCTAAGTATTCCGATATGGATATCGGAGACTCAATATTATTGTAGCTGCTTATCCCGGCAATACTAGCATCCGAAACACTAATACTCGCTAAAGACTGGTTTGATGTTGTTGCACCTAATCGCTCCTTGATCAAGTCAAGACCTTTTGATGGTACTAATTTGGTAGCCACTTTATTTATTAATCGACTTGAATTTGACCGTGAAATAGGTCTACCCACTTTTGGTATGGATGCTAAAATTTCATTATCGCTATCATCGCCGCCATTGCCATCACCATTAGTACCGTCACAACCTCCACTAAGAGTTATGTTATTATCCTTAGTTGAATTTAGCAAAACTTTTTTGATTGCATCAAGACCATTTGAAGAATCTTTCCAGTGAATTTGGGCAAGCTTAGCAGAAACTTTGTTGAGCAACTTAGCTGAAGTAGAAACTGACCGTTGGATTGGTCTAATATCATCAGTTGAATTACCATTAGATGTAGGACCAATTTGCTTGTGAGTTATAGGATCAACACCCATATCAATTAATCGTTTCTTGAGATGCGTATTCCAATAATTCTTGATCCCATTGTCTGTTCGTTTTGGAAGGTGTCTCGCAATGGCAGACCATCTAAACAAGATAATAATAATTACATAAAAAATAAGTATTACAGGCACCAATAATTTTAACAAAGACAAAATTCTGTGTCGTATTACCCGTAATAGAGGTAATGATGTAACATTTTTCTTCTTCTTTTTTCTTATGTATTAAACTTGCATTTATGATCACACATTAAAAGATTTTCAGATATCTCATTGAAGGTATGCTATATATATATATGTACTGGGTAATAGTAAAACATCAAGTAGCTAGATTGCACTCTATTTGGAACAGTATGTTCGTGCATGTAAGTTAGTAAAAGAAAAATGCTTGTTAAAAAGAAATATGCTTGATTTAATACATTATGTTGAGATCCAATAACTAAAATTTTAGAAGTACTCATAATGATTGAACAGAACAATTTGATCACTTAGAAATCGGGAAGAAGTGTATGAACCGTTTTTTTAGTAAAAAAGAAGAGAACAGAACCCTACAAGGAAAGCTTAGTTAATATATGCATCCATGTCATTGGTTCAAAACCTACAAAGTAAGCATATGATATTACCTGTTGCCCAGAGAAGCATGAAGTTGAATGATTTTTTGCTCCTCTTCTGTACTAAACTTTCCTCTCCTTATATCAGGTCTAAGATAGTTAGCCCATCTTAATCTGCAACTCTTCCCACATCTTTGGAGACCTATATATTATCATCAGGAACCAGAAACCAAACCTATTATCAAGAAAGGAAACCACAATCAATGAGATCGATCTTACAGTGTGACTTATAAAGAACTTTGTTCCAAGAAAATGCAAGAATGTTTACAAAGTAAAGAAACTGAAGTAGAAAAGAAATTATTCTGACCAGCTTTTTGCGGCAAGGTTCGCCAGCCACCTTCGCCGTGTTCTTGAATATAAGCGATGAGTTTATGATCTTCATCGGCCGTCCATGCACCTTTCTTTAGACCAGCTTCATTGTAACATGGAGTCCTCCCCATATTTCTGGTCTGGAATTTCAGAAATAATGAAGTTGACAGGATCTTGGAGAAAAAAATTTTCGGAAAGAAGATCAATAGATGTTCGTGACGAATGGGTTTGTTCGTGGAGAGCAATCAATTTATTTTAAGGTAATATTAAGGTACTCAACCCAGGATGGCGAGCTATATTCTAATACTGAGAAAAGAGAGGGTACCTATAATGGGTATCCATTATCCTCAATCCAGCGGGTTCAGTATATCCACGGGTAACTATAACGGGTATCCATTATCCATGAATATACATTTATCTTTGTATTCTTATTGTTTAAAAATTTGCAAATTGCATAAATTTATTTCTGAAATTTACACGATTTTTCTTGTAGCACCCTCTTAAGTTTGCAGGAAATCTATTACGAATCTATATTTATATATTTCAATAATAATTATACCATTCACTAAAATAAAATGTAAAAATACAAAGTTATGATTGAACTCTTATATAATTATTTTATTTTAGCAAGAGATATAGTTATTATTGTAGGATCATGATAGGTCTCTCGCAAACTTGAGGATATCATAACGCAAATCGCGCGTAAACTTTAAAGCCAAATATATGTATTAGGCTTTTAAAAATTATATTATATTAAATTAAAAAAATAAAATTATTTATCCAAATGATTTATATAATACATAAAAGAATATGAAAATAAGTTAATACTCAAATAAATGTTCAAACAATGATAAATGAAAATTTTAATTGTAAAATTATTCTTCTTATCTTAACATGATAAATTATATGAACGGTCACTTAATTTCATTTAAGGACATATATATAATTTTTATTTGTCATTTTTAGTCACTGAAGTTTAATTTTTATTTTAACGGAATATCACCTACTAAAATTCAGTAAGTAGAATGATAATATGATGCTAATAGTTACATATTCCACAAAATATTCATGATTATGCAAGAATACGAGAAAGAAAAAAAAAATTGTTACAAATGGTAGAATGAATTTTTTTTTTCTTTTTTATTCTTTTTGAAACTTTTTTCATATATATATTAAATAAATTAATAGATAGATTTCAAATTAATATATTGAGAGAAGATATGATTTTTTTTAAAATGAAATATTTTATATTGAGTACCATATTAGTATTTTAATAGCCAGATTTTGGTGAGTGATTTTCCATTAAAATAAGAATAAAAATTAGGTGATTAAAAAAATTATAAATTAAAGCTATATAACCTTATAAAAGATAACCATCAGTATAAATACTTCCATGAGCTTAATCTGGAAGTAAATCCATTGGCCTCTTACCGATTATACCCTCCGCATTGGAAACAATTACCGGTCATGCCCTAGTAGAAAAACAAAAATACATGTACTGTATATTTGGCGTCTGGGGCTACTCGTACGCAGTGGAGAGTCGAGTGGCGTATTTGGGATAAGATGCCGATTTCGTCAGTGAGAAGGACAAGAAGTAGGAAAATAAATATTCCACCTAAATCAGGAAACCAATCACCATCTTCCTTTTCTACATTTCGTCTTTGTTCTTTTTGCTGTTCATTTTCTTTCTCTCTTTTTTTTTTTTACTATTTAACTTATCCGTAAACTTTAAAAGGTTCAACATACTTATATTACCGAAATTTATTTTATATTTTTGAGTTATTATAAATAATTATTTTTTATTTGAATTATTAATAAATTATGCACCGTAATCTAAAGATACTATTGTTCTATTTTTTAAAAAATTTTCATAGTTTCTATCTAGACGGTATTTTATTTTATATTTATATTATTTATTTAATATATTATGCTATTTATTTATTTATTTATGTGGGTTGAGCTAAAGAACAAACGTAGTGTATTAATAAGAAGCAAAATGGTGATGAACATTGACAATATGGTACAGTACAGATGTGTTATTCCATTATTATGGGAGAAAGGACAAATGTGACTCAAATCTTTAAAAAAAAAAAAAAAAAAATACTTATCGTCTTTGTTATTCTATGCTGTTCATTTTCTTTCTCTCTTTTTTTTTTTTACTTTGTAATTATCCGTAACATTTCAGGTCCTTTTTTCCGATTTTTTTTTTTATTGGTTATTATCATAATTAATTTTTTTATTTGAATTTTTTTTCGCCACCGTTCTGTATATCCGTTATTTTCTTCTCAATTTTTCGATAGTTTCTATCTGGTATTTTTATTTTATATTTATTTATTTATTTTACTATTTATCGTATTTTTTTTTTTTTTAGTGGGTTGGTACAAAGAAACAAAGCGTAGTGTATTAATAAGAAAGCAAAATGGTGGATTGAACATTGACAATTATGGTACAGTAACAGATTGTGTTTATTCCATTATTGGGAGAAAGGACCAAATGTGAACTCAAATACTTTTAAAAAAAAAAAAAAAAAACTTTATTGGTTGGCAGCCACATTTTAAAATCATTAATAATTTTAGCACCCTGAAACTAAAAAAAAAAAAAAAAAACTTTATTGGTTGCACATTTAAATCATTAATAATTTTAGCCCTGAACTTTTGTACCATTGATAATGTGGCACGTCACGTGACTCCCATTCGCCATATCACATTTATGGGATTATTTAATTAATTCTCCATTCATTTCTATCTTTTCTCCGAATATTTTTCGCTCCGACGACAAAGATTTTCTCCTCAAAATATTAGTTTTTGTCCTAGCTTAATTTATGTGAAAATTAAGAAAATTTAACTAATATAATTAAACTATAAATTTTACTTTATTTTTTTAATATACTCTCAATTCATATTTCAAAATTGCATCATAAATTGAAATTCGATTTGAAATTTCGATTTGGATCAGTATTACCTAATACTCAAAAAATAATAATAATAATAATAATATTGTACATTGTAGATGGAGCATGTTGAAATAAAATTGGTATATCAACGTTTTCTTAAATCGTTTTACAACAAGGTGACAAATGATGCAAGTTTGGATCCTATTAAAGGATATGATAAAACATCAAAGGATAATTTTTGTTGACAGTGATTACCTTATTAATTAATTTACAATTATCTTTGAATAATCTATTCTAATTCGTAGACCGAATTTAGGAAAGTCTAATTCTAAAATCTAGCTAGGAGAAATTCTTATATAAACTTAATCTACCATGTCAACTATAGACTCACCCAATAAAATAATTTTCTATCTCTAACAAAATCGAAACGTGAAAGAATTAAAAATAAGTTAGAAAAAAGTAAACTATTGATGTGGTTTTATTTCATTAGTGGATCTATAGCTTGACTTAGTAGGCTAAATCTACCTAATAATTTCTCATACTAAGGAGAAACAAAATTCACGGGGAATGATGGTTTGGGTAGATGCACGTGATGTAATAAGGTTTTTTTTTTTTTTTTTAATAAAATTGAGTTGAGTCAATATTACAAGAAAATTAAATTTATTATTTCATAAATAAATTAATAACTTGTATATATTTCAAATGTTTGATGATTGATACAAATTAAAGTGCATATATATGAATGATGGGATGTATATATCATAAATAATTGAAAATTTTGTCTCTTAATTAAAAAATAATTTATTTTCAAGTAATTATTGACTATATTAAAGAAAAATACAAATGGTGCAATTTAGACTTTTTGTTTTTTTTGTTTTTTTCTTGAAACAGAAGAGAAGAAAGCCTTATTAACGAGAGATAATATCCCAATAATGAAGACTAGAAAAAGAACAAGCTGCTCTAGTTAGAGAGCCAGCTGGCTTATTCGTTGTGCCTTCCAATCTAAGTCATGAAGAATCCATTTGCAGTCAGCTATTATCCTTCTAAATTCAAAAAAAAAAAAAAAAAAAAAAAAAAAAAAAAAAAAAAAAAAAAAAAAAAAAAAAAAAAAAAAAAAAAAAAAAATCAGAATCACTAGATGTTCAGAGCTTGAAAATATCATAATGTTTCTGTCTCCACCATAGTTCGACCAACCTGCTTTTGTTTTTACACGGCAAATAGTTAATTCCAACGCTTTTTTTTTTTTTTTTTTTTTTTTTTTTTTGCACGAAGGGGATTTGGAATTGTATATATAGTTATATATATATATATATATATATATTATATATATATAGTATAATTATTATTGGAGCTTTAACAACTTGCTTGACTGGGCTGAATTTGGTCAGGCCCTTAGTGAGAAAACAAGTAAAGTAGTTATATATTATTATTGAGCTTTAACACTTGTTGACTGGGCTGAATTTGGGTCAGGCCCTTAGTGAGAAAACAAGTAAGTTAAGTTTGGATAGAACTTAAAACATAGCAGCTTGGAATGAAAAATATAAATGAAATTGTTCAGACATTAAAAACTAAGGACTGGCCTAGCCCAACTCCGAAACAATTTGAGTTTCGGAAAGATATCCGTATCGATTGGCCCAAATCGGCCCAATCCAACTCAGTTTGAGTCAACAAACTAGTACATTTGCTTAATGTAATCTTTGCCAGCTACACAACCGGTCCGAAAAACTCAAATTCTAATCTTTTATTCTTCGTATAAATGAAAGATTAATCAAATTATGTCTAGTTAGGTTAAATGCAATCAAATTAACACATACTAATAATATATTTTGATACTAAAAAAAAGTAGAATATTAAAATTACAATAAAAAGAAAATTATATTAAGACTTTTTAAAGAAAAATATAATTGTTAATATTTTATTATTATTATTTCTATGATTATCCTCACGGCTTGTTGAATATGAGACTGATTTTATTTTGGAATGAGGAATTCTTAAATGCCTTTTTTCATTAGAGTTTTTTTGTACGAATTGAACTTCCGATTCTACAGGATCGTACCATTTAAGTCACTCCCCCGTGGGGAATAATTGTTAACTTTTTAGCTACTATTAATTAAATTCTTACAGTTTCTTTCCATGCTCCATGCTGTAAAATGGATACTATTAGTTTGCAGCAAATTTTCTGTTAGGTGTTCATATTTTGTATGATCCTCCTTTAGAGCTTATTCCTTTGATTGTTCATGATGTAGCTGGTGTGGCTTCCATCTCCTAGTTTTTCTTTCTCCTTACCAAAAGAAAAATAGATATAATTTTTAAAATAATATTGAATAAAAATTTTTTATTTTTTAAAATAATTATAAATAAAATGATGACAAAAAAAATATAAATTTGCAACTAATAATTTGTTAATCATTATTATT